TATAGCTTAATAGCAAAAGAATTAACAGTAGATGGAATAACAAATAGGCGCTCGCTGGCGCCAGCGCAGCAGAGAGCGATACAACGGATATGACAAATAATTGAATTAAAAATAATATACAAAAATTAGATATAGATAAAGGTGAAATTAAAAAAGATTAAATATCAAGCATTTTTAGCTAGACGTAATCTTTTTACCTTTCTTAATTTTAGTCGGATTATTAGTTCTTCATTTTTTAATATCGAATACCTTACTATATAAATCTACATACTAATATTTCTTTTGTGGCGTATTTGGCTTTAAGTTTACCACCTTAAAAAAGTCGAACTTATTTAAAATGTATCTCGAAAAAAAAAGAATCATTAAGATAATAAAAAAGATTAATCATTTATTGCTAGCATTGCCGGCTGCTAGAAACTTTATGATCCTAAAATTTTTAATCATAGGTTGCGTATTAAATAGTATACATATCGCTAACAGCAAGCGCCTATAATTAATTGCTTTGCTAGCAAGCTAGCAAGCTAGCAAGCCAGCCAGCGAATAATTATTAAAATTTATATATTCTTAATTTATGTTATTCATTAAATTACTTATATTTATAACAAGGATTAACCTTTAAAATAACTCAACAACTATATACTTAATAAAAAAAAATAAAAATTTTCTATTGCTAGTAAAAATATTGATAAGAACGAAAAATAGAAACTAAAAAAAATCATTATACCTCATATTTATTAGATGAAAGTGATCTAATTATAATAATTAATACAACAATATCATTTAACTTTGGCCTTATGTTCTCTATTCTTTATTGTTTTATAACTTATTAATAAAAAAAATTAGTTAAAAAAGAACTAAAGAATATTTCTTAGTTAACTTTATTATATAATTATCGCTGGCAGGCTTGCTAGCTTGCTAGCTTGCTAGCAATGATAAAAATTCGCTAGAAAATTATATATTCAATATAAATTTTTTTTATTTATTAAATATATGGTAACAAAATTTAGAATTAAAAAATAATATAATATTAAACCTTTTTATCGCGCCAGCGCCTCCCATTACTTCAAATTTAAATAAAAACTTGTCGAAGTTAGATTACCATAATAAAACAAAATAAAATTGTAGTAGTTATAAAAATGTTTCAATAATGAATAAACTTTATCATTATATTATCTCATCTAAATACAAAGATAAAAATAAATAATTTTTTAATAAGAAGCTAGCAAGCTTTAATTAATTTGGATCTCCCCCTCGCCTCCCTCGCCTTCCCCCAAGGCGCGCTACGTGAGAAGGAGAGCGAGCCTATCTTCCTTAATCCCCCATCCTCGTCGAGCGCCTTAACGCCTAGATGACAGGATGGGCTATGGGGTGAGGATAGATTCCTTTTTGTTTTAAAGTGTATAGTCATTTTTAAATCTTTAACTTTTTACAAATTCATAATTAGAGATATCTCTTCATAAAATTATAAGCTAAGAATATAGCTATCATACGCAAGTTTTAATTTTTCTAATTATATACCATTTAGGGTTTTAAGGTATTCAACTTTATAATATATATTTATATTTTTACTCTATGGTTAACCTATAATTATTATATTCTTTTGTTAATTGATTTTTTTTAGGAAATTAATATAAAACAAAAGATAAAAGAAGTATATTTTTAATAATGGTAGATGACAAATTGGTTCGTCGCTCCATTTGGGATGGAGATATATAGCGTGTTCGAATCACGCCTACCATAAAAATTATAAAAATTCACTTTTTAAATAAAAATATTTTTTATTTAAATAAATACAAAATTAAATTTTTCTTAATGATCCAATTACTTCTACTTGTACCTATAATAGGTTCTTTATTAATATTATCAATACAAGGTAATACAATTAAAAATGAAAATAATATGAAAATAATAGCTCTTTCAACTTCCTTAATTAACTTATTAATATCTATTTTTTTATGGCTAGAATTTGATTCAAGTATAAGTGAATATCAATTTATATATGAATTTAATAAATTAAGTTTTTGTCATTTTAATATAGGTATAGATGGAATTTCACTTTATTATGTATTATTAACAACATTTATAACACCAATTGCTTTACTATCTAATTATAAAAATATATATAAAAATATTAAATATTTCCTTATTTCTTTTTTAATTTTAGAAACATTACAAATTGCAGTATTTGTAGTTTTAGATTTATTTCTTTTTTATATTTTTTTCGAAAGTGTTTTACCTATTTTATTTATAATTATAGTAGTTTATGGTTCAGGTGAAAATAGAATTAGATCAGGTTTATTATTTTTTTTATATACCTTAGCTGGTTCTTTATTTATGCTTTTAGCTATTCTTCAAATATACAGTAATGTAGGTTCAACTGACTTTCAATTAATATCTTTATCTGAAATTAGTTTAGAGAGTCAAAAAATATTATGGTTAGCATTTTTCTTGGCACTTGCAGTAAAAACTCCTTTATGGCCTTTAACAGGTTGGCTTTATAGGGCCCATGCCGATAGTCCATTAGCTGGATCCATTTTATTAGCTGGAACTATACTAAAATTTGCTACTTATGGTTATATTAGAGTTTTAATTAACTTTTTACCTGATGCTTCTAATTATTTTGGTCCATTAGTACAAACTATAGCTATAATTACTTTAATTTATTCATCTTTAGCTACTATTATACAACAAGATACTAAATCTCTAATTGCTTATTCAAGTATTGCACATATGAGTATTGTTATTTTAGGTTTATTTTCTAATACAATTCAAGGAATTGAAGGAGCTATTTTACTTTCATTAGGACATGGTTTTGTTTCACCTGCTTTATTTATTTGTGTAGGTGGAGTTATTTATGAAAGAACTGGTACTAGAATTATTCAATATATTAGAGGATTAGTTACTTATATGCCTGTATTTACTATTTTATTTTTTATATTTACATTAAGTAATACTGGAATACCTTTAACTTTAAATTTTCTAGGAGAATCTTTATCTCTTATGGGAATATTCCAAAGAAGCCCTATTTTTGGTAGTTTAGGTGCCACAGGTATAGTACTTTCTGCTATATACAGTATATATTTTTACAATAGAATATCTTACGGTGTATATAGTCCTCATTTAAAACCAGTTAAAGACATAAGTCGAATAGAATTTATGCTTTTATTAACTTTATTAATTCCTACTGTTGTTTTAGGTATCCTACCTAATGTTATCCTAGACTCATTGCATTTCCCTGTTACAGCCCTATTATACAATATATCTTTATTCCCCTCCCTCTAGATTATAATGATACTTTATTATCTAGCCAAAGGAGTAAATCCAGATTCTAATAGTAAGGATTTAGTGGTATAGGGTTAATATTTATAATATTGTTTTACTTGGAAAAATTTAGGCTGCGTAGCCAGCTGGCGCGATATAAACAATTAAGAAGCATGTATCAGTTTCCGCCTTTCCTTTACAATGTTTAACGGTAATAGGTATAATATTATCAGATGGTTTAGCGAAAGGTTGTATAAACGGATTTTTGCTGGCTGCAGCGCCGGATAATTTTGTTTATAATTTCCATGTTTTTAGTTTAATTGGTCATTATTGTAAAAGATTGCCTATACTTTAAGTAAAAAAACTTGGACTTGGGCAGGTAAAACTACCGTACAATTAGGTATAAGAGTTCTTACCTGTTCTTTACCCTGTAATACTGCGCTGGCTGAAGAGCCAGCATTTATTTTATATAAATGGTGTTAAGTGTGTACCGGTAGATTTTTATATTTTACTAAACCCTATAGCCTTAGCTCATTGAATCATGGAAGATGGTTCATATATACCAAAAGGTAGCTTAGTCTTATGTACTGCGCTCCTCGCCTTCTCGGGTAAGGTAGCGACCCCTCTTTCGTGCTTTCGTAGCCGCCTATCTATTGAATCGCTTGCATGCTTCGCCGGCCTTCGGATCCTTACCTTACCTTCGGCTGGCTGCTGCCTTCGGAGTCGAGCAAGCAGGGTAGGCCGATTACATGATGACAGGAGGACGGTAGATATAGTTCGTTTCATTTTTAATAATAAGGTATAGATTAAATTGTAGTCTTGTTCTTATTAAATAATAATATTTACTTATATGCGACGTATTAAATATCTTTATTTTCTCGTAGCCGGAGCGCCTTAACGCCTAAACTAGAGGAGGTTAAAAAAACTTTATAGAATTATAAATCCAAAAAAAAGTATGGATAATCTAAGAAGTGAAACCATCTATGATACCTAGTTTGTACTATAAAATTCAATTATAAATTAGTAAAGAGACCCTTGTATCATTTATAGCCCTGTCTTAAAAAAATTAATCCTTATAATTTATTATTTTAAGGATAATAATAAATATTTTAAGATAATCTAATTAAATTTTTAATTTTTTAATTCACCCCCTTACTTATTAAATAAATATACGTGTGTGTATTATTATTTAATACAATACGCGCACTTTTTATGCGCAGTTAAATTCTGATAGAGGATGTAAAACTAACTCAAGTAAGACAGTAAATTAGAGATTAGCTGTATAAAATAATATTTTAAACCACCACTCACTTATAAAACCATTTATAAACCATATTTAAAGGATCGTCTTAAATTATAAGATAAATATGATAGAAGAATTAAGGATTAAAAAAGAATTCCTTTTTTTAAGGCCAGTAAAGCGATTACTACACTAAGTATAATTCAGAGGTTAAGTAACTTATTATTTATTTTACCTCTTCTTAACATATACAGTAAATTAGAGATTAGCTGGATGAAATAAAGTATATAAAAGAATATAATATATATATATTATAAATATTATACTTTTTATATTTGAGGGGATATCGGATAATGGTTATTCCACTGTATTTGCACTACAGTTATGATAGTTCGAGTCTATCTATCTCCATTACGGTTATTTATAGTATTTTATACATATATTTTATTTAAAAAAAAGTTAATTTATAATAATATTTATTTACTTTTTATATATATAAACCTTGGTTGCTTAGTGGTCAAAGTACGGATTTGAAGCTTCCGAGATGAGAGTTCAATTCTCTCCCAGGGTAAATTGCTGGCTGGCTACCGCAACCCGAAGGCTGGAGAGCCGAAGGAGCCGAAGGAGGCGAAGCATGCAAATAAAAAACTATTCTGCTAACTAACTCATTAATTATGTATAATATAATTAATATAAATTTAATAAATAGATATAGAATAGGTTATTTAAAATATTAATATTAAATTATATATTTAACTTGTACTATATATTTTTAAGGATTAAAAATATTATAACTTTAAAATAGTTATAATAGCCGAAATAGTTTAATTGGTAAAACAAATTCCTTGTAAGACTTAATTATTGGTTCGATTCCAGTTTTCGGCAAAAAAAAAAAATATATATAAATTTTTATAATAAAAGCTATTTTGAGTTGTAGTTTAATTTGGAAGAACACCATTTTTTGGTAATGGCTATTATCAGTTCGAGTCTGGTCAACTCAGTTCTAGAGCTTTTTTTAATAAATTTTAATCCTTAAAAATAAATTAAATAGTAAGTAATATTATTTTAAGCAAATATATTTTATATATAGATATTTTTAATACTTAAAAAAAATTAAGTATTTTCTTTCTTTTTATATTACTTTCTGGTCGCGAGGAAGCAGAACTCGAGTGGTTGAGTATCTCCCTTTTAAGGAGAGAGTCTTGGTTCAAGTCCAAGTGCTTTCAAAAATTATTATAACAATTTATAATTTAAATATTTTTAATAATCTTTTTTATTAAAAGAGAGTAAATTTTTTATTCTATAATATTTATTTTGCTTAAAATAATATGTACTTACTATTATTAAATGCGTACTTAATATTAAATATTATTATTTAATATAAATATTTATTATTTTAAGGGCAGGTGATCCGATTGGTAATGGTGGTTCTCTGTAAAAGAATTGGTGTAAACTGTAAAAGGTTCGATTCCTTTACTGCTCAAATAAAGAAAAATTATTTTGTTTTTTATATAATATTTAAATATAATAGATTCTTTTCTAAAACTGGTTACCCTTTTTATTTCTACTTCTATAACTTTTTTTATACTAATTTTTATTTTAACTTATCCTATTTTTTTTATCTTAGTTATATAACTTAATACCATAGTAATTAGGTATAAAAAAATTAATTGTTTATATCGCTAACAGCCAGCGCCTGTTAATATTTTATAAGTAAATAAATATAAAGAATATGTATATATTATAATATATTGCTGGCTAACAGCGACTATTTTTTAATAACTTTAATTCTATAAGTCATTTAAATTTTTTTAACACCCTAATTTTTATTTATATTATAAAATATAAGAATATGAAAAGAAAAAGGCGAAAAAAATTAGTATATTTATATTTATAACCTTTTATTTTTTTTTAAGACTGTAGCATAATTGGTTAATGCAATTCGCTCATAATGGATCTTATAAGGGTTCAATTCCCTTCGGTCTTATATTCTTTATTTTTGATATTTAAATTACCCTTTTTATCTTTAAATTATTTATAAATTTATTATAAGCATTATTAAATACGTACTTACTTATGCTTATTATTATTTTGGACCTTAATTATTGAGACTCTTAATTTATAATTAATATTTAGTTTAATATTTTATATTTTTAAGTTATATTTTAATTTATCTATAATAGATTATTCTATTTTATTTATTATAAAAGAAGTAAATAAGATTAAATAATTAATATAAAGAGACTATATTTAGTATATTATTAATAATTATTTTATACAATTTGTATATTATGAATTTTAAGAAAAAGGGTACTTGGTCGAGTCTGGTTTATGGCGCTCGTCTTGAAAACGAGTACTTCAAAAAAGTCGTCGGTTCAAATCCGACAGTGCCCGTATAAAATTTTTCTTCGCTCGCTGGCGCCAGCAGAAAGTAAAAAGTTATTCTTAGTTTTTTTTTTTATTAAAATATACACAAACTATATTACAAATACTATATTATAATAATAAATACATCTTCCTTAGTACTTATACTATAGCTAATTATAGTTTATTTCTTTATTATCTATTTCGACAATTAAATAAATAGATAATAAGACTATTAGACTTTTTATTTTTTTTTATATTATAAGATCTTTTTTATAATAAAAGAGAGTTAAGATATCTAATTCTGAAGTTATTCTTAATATAATTATATCTTTAATATTAATTTATAAAGTTTAATTTAGTGAAGGTTAAAGGTTAATGTAAAAAGATATCTTTTGAACAATATAATTTGTGGAGAAAAAAAATTTTAGAAATTTTAAATATATTAAAAATAAAAAAATAATAAATAAAAAGACTAATTTATTTTTATAATTATATATAACTTATAATATTTTTATACTTTTTTTTATTAAATATCTAACACTTAAGTATGTTTACTACTTTTTTATTTTATGAAATAATAAAACTCCTATTTTAGCCTATTAATATTTACAAAAAATTCAGAATATACTATATATTTTTATATAGTATTTCACAGAAATTTTCCTATAGATAATTCTAACTCTTTTTCAATATATACAACCTTTTTTTATTTACTTAATTTTAAAATTTAGACCTTTTAAAATATATTTAGGATAATCATTTACTGATATTTTTTAATAAGGAAAGAGATACTTTTTCTTAAAATCAAAATAATAGTACAATTATATTTTTATTTTAAGGATTATAGTATAAAATTTTTAGATCTTTTGCTGAAATAGTTTAAATGGTTAAAACATACCATTCATGACGGTATAACAAAGGTTCAATTCCTTTTTTCGGCTTATTTTAATTCTTTTTAAGCACTTAGTATAATTTATTTACATTAGTATATTTATATTATTAAAGATATATTATTATAGATTACTTTATATTTGCATGCTTCGCCTCCTTCGGCTCCTTCGGCTCTCCAGCCTTCGGGTTGCGGTAGCCAGCCAGCATATATTTTAATAAAAATATTTAAATTAAAAAAAAAATAAATATAAAAAAAAACTTTCTTTTTATGAGGGTAAAATCAGAGACTTGAACTCTGAACATCGTCGCCACAAGACGTCATTTTGCCAATTAAACTAATATTACCTCTTTTATAATAAAAATACTTTTAATAAAGGTATAATAAAAAAGTACAAATATATTTAACTATTAAAAATAAAATCATTAAAATAATTAAAAATATAAATTATATTATTTTTTAAAATAAAAGTATCGATGACAATATAGTTTTAACATCAAAAAGTAATTTAAAGGGGTTATTAAGGATAGCTAGCAAATTTATAAAAAAAGGAGGTATAAACCAAAAGCCATAAATATTTACTAAAGAATTATGGCGATCCTAAGGGAAACCTTTATTATCAAAACTTCCCGAAGTAAAACATTTTAGTAGGGAAAGGAAAGGAAATCAACCGAGACTCCGAAAGTAATGGCGAGTGAAATCGGAAAAGCCAAAATAAATTTCAAATTGAAAGCCAAAGAAGGTAAGAGTCCTGTAGATTAAAAAATATTATTTCTTAAAAAATAAAAATAACTCTAAACTGTTAAAAGTCCAAGGGTTTAATTAAAATATTAAGTCTAAAAAGTACGATGAGAGAAAACTTGTCGGAATATAGGGGAACCATCCTCTAAGGCTAAGTAATATAAATTTAGCGATAGTGAAAAGTACTGTAAAGGAAAGTCTGAAATAAGTGTGTATTAATAGACACAGTGAAATAAATTGAATTAGTAACTCTATAAGCAGTCGAAGTTTATAAAAATATAAATGACGGCGTACCTTTTGCATAATGGGTCAGCAAGTTAATAGGAGTAGCAAGGTTAGAAGCCTTAGTGAAAGCGACTGAACTAACTAGCTAAATGAAAAATAAAATTATATTTATTTATAATTTTATTTTTGTTGTGTATTTATAATTTTATTTTTTTCACTAAGAAATAAGTTAAATTATAATAGGATATCCTTAATTGTTTAAGTTTAATTATAAACTAACATTAAGTTTAATATTTTCTAGAAATAGTGGCGGATAAGTTACTTCTATTAGACCCGAAGCTAGGTGATCTTCCCAAGACCAGATTATAATGGATCGAACGGGTGAATGTAGCATTATTCTCCGAAGAGTTTTGGGAAGCGGTGAAATGCCAATCTGACCTAGTGATAGCTGGTTTTCTACGAAACATATGAAAGTATGACATCTTTACAAAATTTATGGTGGTACAGCACTGAGTTCCAAACGCAATATTAGATAAAATATTAGTGAATTTAATAAATATCTACCGATATTCTTAAATTTGCGGCTAATATAGTTCAGGTTGAGGGGACCTCGAAAATCTTACCAATGGAAGAGAATCTCGAAAGGACATAAATTGATGAAAGATATTCAGACTGCTCATGAGTAAAGTTGAGTAGTCAAGACGGAAACAGCCGAGAACACGAATACAAGGTCCCAAATGATTATTAAGTGAAATTAAGGAAGTAATATATTGCATGCAGTTGTAAAGTAAGCTTGAACATACTACTTTCGAGCTACTAAAAAAAATTAAGCTATGTGCAAGAAACCCCTAAAGATATAAAGACTTAATTATAAGTAAAATATTTATATATAACAAAATGGGCTACTTGCAGGAAATTCTCATTTCTTCAACGACTATACGCTTAATATTAATAATATGTTTACATATGATAATAATGACATAGTCTTTCAATTATGAAAGTAATTGACAAAAATAGATAGGCGCTTGCTGGCTGCGTAGCCAGCCAGCGCGATAAAATTTAAAAAAATATTTGTTTTCATAAGTTATTAGCAAAGTAACTAGAAGGTTGTTGGTTCACCTGGTTTAAATACCCATAGTCAATAAAGAAGGCTAGCACCCTAAACTCTATTAAAATAGTGAAAAGTTTTTAATTCCAAAATTTTTATTTTGGCGCTGGCTGCGTAGCCAGCCAGCAATATATTAATAATAAAATAAGAAAAATTAATACAGCTACAAACAATCTAAAAAATATTATGAACCAAGAATTTATTATGTCACCTGGATATATAACTGGTTTAACACAAACGGATGGTTCTTTCTTTTGTACTGTATCATTATCAGCTAAAGCTCTTTTTGGTCTTCAATTTAGACCTAAATTTACTATAACAACTGATTTAGATTCCAAATACGTACTAGATGGTATTCAAAATTATTTAGGATGTGGTGTTGTAATAATGCACATTAATAAACATGCAGCTGAATTAGTAGTTGATAGACTTGATGAACTTTATAATTTAATCATTCCTCATTTTAAGAAATTTCCAGTATTTTGCGCTAAATTACATGCATTTACTTTGTTTGAAAAAATTGTGATCTCTTTATATAAAAAAGAGATGAGAACAATAGAAGAAAGAAGAGAATTATTAAAATATGCTTTATCAATGAATTTAAGTAGTAATAGAACAGAAGATAGAATAAATTTATTATATTCTAAATTAGGTGTAATGAATGTTACTGATTTTATGCTCTCAAACAAATTAATTAATAATAAATATCTTTCAATAGAAACAGAGATAAGTAATGATAATATAGCAGGTATAATAGATGGAGATGGTAGTTTTTATATTTCTTTCCATAAAGAAGGTTCAATTAAGACTGGTTTTAGTATTACAACTGATAATCAATCTAAATCTTTATTAGAAGGTATACAATCTAAATTACAAGGAATAGGAAGCATTAAAAT